CTCTTCCCGACATCGACGGCTATACAAATCCAGTGGTTGCTGCATGGATTTAATCATAGAACTAGATAAGCTCTTTTACATCGAATAAAATATATCAAACAAAGCTTTAAGTATATAGTTGAACTTACTCGAAGTTGTATGGTAGCCATATAGTAGAGTGTTGTTGTAGATTTTTGAAAGCCAGAGCAATGTATGTCGCAACCTTAAGGGACTCTTCCTTTAGTTTCGCTGTACGGATGCGCTCTTTCTCCCAAAGAGTCTTTGCAGCAGCTAGCTCTTTGGCATCCAGTGTCCATTGTTTAGGGTAATTAAAATTTGGTTGGGCTATAGCTTGAGGGTCTACATATCCGGCTTTCAGACTTGGCATTTGTTTGACAATGTGCACTTGCATTCTACAAATCGTGGAGTGGGTTAGTTACAACAAAATTCAAAGATTACATTCATATCATATATCGGGAGGACAAGGACTTACAAGCACCACGTGCGAATTAGATTCATCTCCATTTCTCCCAAGTGAAAGCATGTGTGCATGTCATTGAAGTCAAAGACAATTTTCCCGGCTGGGCTTCCAAATGTGCCGGTGGGGAAGCATGCTTGTACGAGATCTATGCTCATTGGGAGAACACACAAGTACCAATCATGGAACCTTCTCATTCCAAGTGGTAGACGTTGGATGTCCCGGTTTGGTATGAAGGGCTTGCCTCTTTCATATGTTTTCGGGCAATCCTTTGACCAATTGATGTCATCAACATTTGGATACTCCTTTACAATTTGGTGGAGTTTGCTAGTTACGGCCTCCTCAGAACCCCGTGATGGGACTTTTTTAACTTGGTTCTCAGGCTTGAACTAGTCATGGGAATACCACTTGGACACCGACGAGATGTCTTTCATCGGAACATAAACTGGCCTTATGTTGATTGGAATCTTCTTTTGAAGTTCCCATTCAGGCACGTCCTCGTCTTCTTGTGCATCACCTTCTTCATGAGGCACTCGTTTTTCATGTATCGGCTGTGCTTGTTGAGAAGACTGCGGCATCTCATCATGCACTTGCTTGGTATGAGCTGGAGAAGGTTGTGGCATCTCATCAGGCACATGCTCGCTAGGAGGCGGGGAAGAATGTGGCATCTCAGGTATGTGGTGGTCACAAGATGGTGAAAATATCTCCCCAACCTCAACAACTCGCTCCAAATTTGGGAGAGGGGGAGGCGGCGAAGAAGCAGTCAATATAATGTCCCATTTGTGCCAGAGGATGAACTGCCCAATAACGTCTCCGAGTAACACCAGCCCCTCGGAAGTTGCGTAGTCTATCCTCCACTGTATGAAGTCGGGCTTCATGGTATTTACCTCGACCCTAGTGTAGTCCGGCGGTATATTATTATTGTGGTGTAAGCCACCGGGAGGATGTGCCACACCCGTTGCCAACTCCATCACAGTGTTCTGCCGGCCGCTGAGAAACACCAAGGTGCAACTAGTTGGTTCCCGTATGCGATCGACGGGGGTTGTGGCTGCAGTGGAACCTTGGCTGCTAGGAACTTTCGGAGGGCTGCCAATTAATGCCAGTTCTCCCGGCGGCGTCACTAATATCCATGGCTCCATAGACAGTCCTTGCTCCTCCAGCGCCTTCGCAACTAGAGCCTTCACTTGGAGCTCAAGACTAGCCTCCCGGTCTCAGCCATGTTTCTTGTACATGTGCCTGTCCTCTTCGAATCCTTGCTTCCAGGTCGTCCTTTTTCCTAGCCCCCTGATGCGGCCGGTGTGCTCCTTGTTTCCTAAGCCAACGCTAAGCTCGTCCCTCTCTCTGGAAGGATTGAATGAGCCCTTCTCCTTGTCTTCAGCATATTTTAGTATCCTTGATACCGCCTCTTAGGTCTCCGACTTATCAAACTTAAGATTACTGCCGGATGATTCTGTACTCCTCGCATATATCTAGTTCCTTAAGCGTACCTTCAAATTCGTCACATCGATATTCCCAGTAGCTGCGGCCTCTTCGTCCATCATCCTAAACTGCTCTTCCTTGGCATAGTAGCCATCAGGGCCTAGATGATGGTGGTGTTTGTTCCTCTTCGCGCGCTCGGTGTTACGGGCACTGAGCTCCAATGCCTCCGGTTTAGTCTTTTGAGCCACGAGCTCCTCCCATTGACTAGGAGTTATTTTGCCGAACTCTTTGAAGGGAATTAACCCCTTTTGGATATACTTTGTGTTGAGCTCCGACCTCCAACGTCGAAATGACTCTCTCATGATCTTAAAAGCATTTTTTTACCAGTTCGTGCTTACCCTCCAGAAATCTAAAATTGACCCTCAGCTGCCTATCCCATAGTTCATTCTTTTTGTTCTGTGGTACCTCTTTCTAGTTAGGGATTGCTGGGTTCAATTTATCTCTTACTAGGGCACCGATCGCATTACGGAATTGTCCTCTTAATTCCTTCGGCTCAAGGACCTCCCCTGCTGGCCCGACCTCCGTTATCACATAGCATGCCTTATCTGGATATAGATTTCCTTTTCTATCCCCTCATTTCCTCTTAGGCTTGGTAGTCGTGGTTGTGTTTCAGGTTGTGGAGCAGAGGCATCATGATCCGTCTCTGTGGCTGTTGCCTCTACTCTCCTTTCCTCTACTCCGTCTTGTCCAGCGAGATGTCGCGGACGTCGACGTCGTCTTTTCCGAGTTTCAGGAGGGACCTGTATATACGACAGGTCAAAGTGTTAGCAGAGGTAACACAGCCAAAGCTTTAGCAAAATTTACAAGCTAAGGCTTTTTCCCTACCTCCTCGTTTGGGTCAAAGTCTTTGTCCAAATCTTCCTCCGTTGGCCTCCTTCTGGCTTCACGTGGGAAAGGATCCTCGGGACTTTCATATCCCTCTTCTGAGTCATCATCATTATCCTCTTCTTCTTCGCCTTCAGCAGCCTCTCCTTCGGGGCCTTTCTCCTCGTCACACTGCTCCTGAGTAAGCATCACTTCTAGATCCTTTTGTACCTCGTTATCGAAGTGTTCCTGAGTAAGCTGGTCCTCTAGTGTTTGCTCCTCAAGGGTTGGCTGCTCATTAGGCTCGGGGCATCGGGCTGCACTGTCTTGTGTCCGTGACATTATTTCGTGCTTTGTTCTAATATATGCAAGAAAGTGTGCTTTAGGTACGCGAGAAGGTATAAGAAATAAAAAAGGTCTATAAACCAAAGTAGTCCTATAAAACAATAATATATCAAAAAAACGAGAAGTAGCAGTAGTAGAGGCCTCAGAAAACATGACAATCATCATCTGATCTTGAACTTGGAGCATCAAGGCATCATAACAGAGAAGAGAGGAGAAGGTAATGTAGAGGCGGCTGCTAATGATGCCAAGTTCCTCACAAGTTCTTGATCATCAGCTCATATTCCATATAATGTATGGACTTGGACAATTTCATCATCGACAAAACAAAGGAGAGGAGAGGAGAGGGGAGATTTGGCAAAAAAAGCAACAACTGCTTAGCAAACATAGAGAGGAAAAGATGTAAAAAAAGCAGCTGCTGCTTCCTAAATATAGAGGATAGGAAAAATAACCAAAAAATAGTTGACTGCTGCCACATGGTTGGAAGACCCCTATAGATCAAAATCTGGTAACTTAGATGTGGTAAATAATGGATTAGAGTAGAGGAGGAGTAATAGTAGATAGAGTAATAGTAGAGGAGTAGAGTAGAGGAGGAGTAGAGAAGTGTAGCAGCCAGTAGTTAAGAGTAGCAGCCGGCAGCTAGGGAAGAGAGTAGAGTAGCAGCCAGCTAGTAGGAGTAGGAGTAGCTAGCAGTAGCAAGTAGAGTAGTAGTAGTTCAGTAGAGTAGAGTAGTAGTAGTAGTTCAGTATAGTAGTAGTAGTAGTATATACAAACAGTTGTATCCAAAATAATCAGCTATAAGCACCAGTTCATTAAGAGTTACAAGATAAAAACAGTGTCATCCTAGGAAAACATAGATATTTGGAAAAAATGAAGTGGGGTAAGTAAAATACAAAAGCTTGCAAACTAGCTACAATAAAATACTTAAAAACTACATTACAAAAAACATTGTATGCCCAACTGTTTGCCGCAATCTCAGATACATGTTAATATTATAAACCATGCATGATTTGGTATAAATCAATGTGTCTTATTGAAACAGTTTAGAAGTTTCTTTGAGTATCTATTGCAAACAGTTTAATAGGAATAGATAAGAGTGATGAACTGGGATCTTGGTTATAAAACAGTTTAGAAGAGTAGGAAAATAATCTTAAATCCAATCCTAGGGTATCTTGGTAATCTTCTTAGTTACTAATACTTGCATTTTAATAGGAATAGATAAGAGTTATGAACTGGGATCTAAATTCTATTATTATTAGTGGTATCATATCAGCCGGTGATCATCATCAAGTCATACAAACATATCTTGGAGAAAAGATTTATAAACCAATATAATAAAATCTACTACATTTATTTTTGGGTTGCTAGAAAAGTCACTGCCAGTAGAGATAGACATACAGGTCTGCGGCTATAGCTAGATGTAGTGATGTCATAATGTCTCTAAGTTCTATCTATATAAAAATGTATTAGCCAAATAGGAATTTTCAGCCGGAACAGTGGCCTTAATAGAAAACCCTTTCTTTGAAACAAACAAACAAACTAGAACACTCAACGTTTACCAGTCATCGAGAGAAAAGATCAAGGTTTAACATCTGTGGTAAAGAACAGTTGTCACTGGACAATCAATGGAACAGTCGTCCTATAGAGATCCTCCCTATAGGTTTCACAATTATGATAAACCTTTTTTATAGAATTTTTATCATGTGAACCAAATCACAAAGAAACTAGCATGGACAACCAATTAATCCTCCACAAGTCATCAAGAACATAAAAAAGTAGCCATTTATCTACTAGCGCCACTGCTAGCCGTTTGCCACTTTGGTAACAAGTTTGATCCGACTAATGTCCAGACACGTGCTACTAGCTGATACTAATATAGAGTTTCGATCAACAGGCAAGTCTCTCAGACACGTGCCACATGGTACTACCTATGTCATGTGGTTCAAAATAGAAGGTTCTAAATGAGTTAGATAAGTATGCTTTTTTCAGTCAAAGTTGGCCATTAACTTTGGGCTTAAAACTTGCAGCAGCTGGCATCACATGGACTCTTTGATGTGTACGTGAAGGCAACAGGTGACACGCATATTGATGACCATCACTCAAATGAGGACATTGCTTTGGCAATTGGAACGGTGATTATTACTTTCCAAGAACATTTGTCAGTTTTACTTTTACTTCTAGATGCATTTGCAGGGATCATTATTAACTTGAGGTTAGGACATCCATATATTTTCCTTTCCTAACTTTTGCACTACAGTTAACACTGAATCACCATTTTTTTTCAGCTTATGACTTGTGCTGAACCACCTGTAATTTAATTCCATGCAATCAGCATTAGCATAGATAGGCAGATAATCAATGAGATGATCTTCTCTTATTGTCTATGTAGGCACTACTTGAAGCACTTGGTGATCGAAAGGGAATTAACCGTTTTGGGCATTTTACAGCACCGCTCGATGAGGCAGCGGTTGAGGTTATACTGGTAAGTCGTATTCTTTTGCTGTATTTACACACTATAAATGTGCAATTTTGCATTGACTTTATGTGCCATTTATGCATTCATAAGCCTCAAATGCTGTGTGGGCTTATACCTGAGTTGCACATGTCTGGCTCTAGTGCTCTACGCTTAAGAAATGCTCAATCACCTACAAATTGAAAAAAAGTACGATTGCTGTTCTGTTAAATGTTATCATAGATTTGTTTGCCATTTTTGGTTCATGTTAGTTTAAGTTATTTATTGGACACATCACAATGGTCATGTTGTCGATGTTTTAACTTCCCTTCACTATAAATATGCAAATTTTAGCCACCTCATTTTTTTTAATAACCTGAAACAAATTGTTGGTTATTACTTCCCCCTGTATCCAGGATCTGTCTGGTCGCCCTCATTTAAGCTGTGGCTTAGATATTCCTACTCAGAGAGTTGGCACATATGATACACAGGTAATTTGTAAAATTTGCAAACCTTTTGTCATTTAATTTGCAAATGTTCCTTTTTGCCATTGGCTTACCTATTTGTTATTATCCCGGCACTGAATAGTTAGTGAGATAGCTGTTAGCTAAGTGTATATCTCTGACAATTGCCGGACCAATTGTCTAGTTCCATGGCCACTATTCAGGTGATGTACACTTTCTAGACGTTAAAACAACACACGACTCCGACTGTGGTAGTGACAAACAATGCAATCATTTGGAGCATATCTATGTTTTTCTAACATATCAAAAATATTTTTATGTCCTAAAAAAGCAAAGAAAGCAGGAAGCAGAGATCTCGACACTTACTAGTCCAGATGGACGATGTGCATTTGGCGTCTTGGGCAGGCCAGGCGGAGGCGGGTGGGGACGCCGGGGGTCGGTCTTGGAGGTGGGCGCCAGGGCAGGCGGCGCGCGACGTCGAGGTCAGCCAGGCGGGGACGCCGGGTCGTGTGAGGCGTCTTGAGGTGGGACGCCGGAGGTCGGTCTTGTGAGGCGAGCACGGGACGCCGGGGTCGGCGCAGCAGGGGCGGATGACGAGCAGGGGGTGGCATGGCGCGCTGGGGGGCGGGTCTTGAGGCCGAGCGCCGAGGCTGGCGTGGGCGGGCGCGGGACAAGTGGCGAAACCCTAGGCGCGAAAGCAAATGACGGACAGCGTCGGAGGAAGAAGACAGTGCCCAGACAATGACTCCCATGCGCTTCTTCCTATTTATACTCGGTACTATTTGTAGGGGCGGTTCCTGATCCAGCCGCCCCTACAAATGCACTTTTAGGGGCGGTTCCTGATCCAACCGCCCCTACAAATATTTTATATTTTTTTAAATTATAAATTCTATATTTTTTATATCATAAAAACACAAAGTAATATAAAAAAAATTTGTAGGCGTATTCAAAAAGTTGACCAAAACAACAATTATAGATCTTGATGAGATGAACAAACTTGGTATTCAAAACTTTTCAATTTGAGACAACCTAGGGTTCCGAAAACTAGTTTGTAGGCGTCGAAATTTAAAAATCGCAAATTTGAACCGTCCAAACTTTCTCAAATAGAAAGTTGACCAAAACAACAATTGTATATATTGATTAGTTTAACAAACTTGGTATTCAAAACTTTTAAATTTGAAGTCATTTAGAGTTCATAATACTAGAGCCAAAGTGTTGTTTTTTCATTTGACCAAATTTGACTTGGTCAAACTTGCTCAAATGAGACACTAAATGACCTTAGATGAAAAATCTCTGAATACCAAGTTTGATCATCTCAGCAAGATCTACAATTGTTACATATCTCATTTTCCCATTTGAGAAAGTTTTATCAAACACTAGTCACAAATTCTTGAATCTCATATAGACTTTGTGAAACTATGTCACACAGTTGTGAAATTTGAACTATATTTTGTTCAAACTTTCTCAAATAAAAAAATGTCCTATATAAGGATTGTAGATCTTGGTGAGCCTAACAAACTTGGTATTCAAAACTTTTCAATTTGAGACAACCTAGGGTTCCGAAAACTAGTTTGTAGGCGTCGAAATTTAAAAATCACAAATTTGAACCGTCCAAACTTTCTCAAATGGAAAGTTGACCAAAACAACAATTGTATATATTGATTAGTTTAACAAACTTTGTATTCAAAACTTTTTAATTTGAAGTCATTTAGAGTTCATAATACTAGAGTCAAAGTGTTGTTTTTTCATTTGACCAAATTTGACTTGGTCAAACTTGCTCAAATGAGACACTAAATGACCTTAGATGAAAAATATATGAATACCAAGTTTGATCATCTCAGCAATATCTACAATTGTTACATATCTCATTTTCCCATTTGAGAAAGTTTTATCAAACACTAGTCACAAATTCTTGAATCTCATATAGACTTTGTGAAACTATGTCACACTTGTGAAATTTGAACTATATTTTGTTCAAACTTTCTCAAATAAAAAAATGTCCTATATAAGGATTGTATATCTTGATGATCTGAACAAACTTGGTATTCAAAACTTTTCAATTTGAGACAACCTAGGGTTCCGAAAACTAGTTTGTAGGCGTCGAAATTTAAAAATCACAAATTTGAACCATCCAAACTTTCTCAAATGGAAAGTTGAACAAAACAAAAATTGTATATATTGATTAGTTTAACAAACTTGGTATTCAAAACTTTTTAATTTGAAGTCATTTAGAGTTCATAATACTAGAGTCAAAGTGTTGTTTTTTCATTTGACCAAATTTGACTTGGTCAAACTTTCTCAAATGAGACACTAAATGACCTCAGATGAAAAATCTCTGAATACCAAGTTTGATCATCTCAGCAAGATCTACAATTGTTACATATCTCATTTTCCCATTTGAGAAAGTTTTATCAAACACTAGTCACAAATTCTTGAATCTTATATAGACTTTGTGAAACTATGTCACACACTTGTGAAATTTGAACTATATTTTATTCAAACTTTCTCAAATGAAAAAATGGCCTATATAAGGATTGTATATCTTGATGAGCTGAACAAACTTGGTATTCAAAACTTTTCAATTCGAGACAACTTAGGGTTCCGAAAACTAGTTTGCAGGTGTCGAAATTTAAAAATCACAAATTTGGAGTTAGTATGAGGGAGAAAGACTAGTTACAAATTTTAACCAGAGATTAAAAAGAAAAATCACAACTGTTCATGATGATCAATGATAAAAAAATATGTAGTCTTAAACATGTACATAAATATATAGTCTCACGCGCATGCATAAATGAAGTCTTACAAACACACACTTACACAAACACTACACGTTCAACAACTAGCTAGCCCGCTGTAACGACTTTCCCCTTGACACCTTTTCGTTCCCATGGCATTATGTCTTTGGGGAGGTTCTTTTCCACAACACTGATCTTTTTAGGAAAGTCTATGAATAGCGGCATCTCATCGTAGTTATTGTAAGCTTCAACATCGTCCACGCCATCAACTCCAATTATGTGTTGTTTTCTGGAGGCAACCACGTGCTTTGTCTTCTTCTTTGGGGGGGAGGTTACTTTGTGGGTCAGACATATAGAAAACTTGTGCGACACGTGAAGCGAGCACCCAAAGGTCATCTTGGTAGCCTAGATTCTCGAGGTCCAGGACTCTCAATCCGATCTCGTTCAGTTGGTGTTGTTTGATCCAGCGGCATCGAAACAGGGCCACCGTTATATCCCTTTCATAGTCAAGTTCCCATATCTCTTCAATGATGCCAAAGTATTGGATCTTTCGCCCTAATCCATCGATAGCCTCTATTCGAACACCGCTGTTTTGGTTCACATATTTACTATCCTTTGCGTGGGTATAGTACGTATACCCATTGATGTCATAAGCATTCTAAGATGTCACTTGTCTCGATGGGCCCTCCGCTAACCTACTGATGGTAATAGAGTCTATGGTTTCTCCAAGCGGTATGTTTTGGTCCTTCAACCATGTAGTTAGTCATTGCTTGTGTTGTTTCATGACCCAATCATCCGAACGGCTATTTCTCTCCGCCATAATAATAGCCAAGTGTTCATCAATGTACGGTTGCATCAGTTGTGTACTCTGCAAGACACTGTAATGCGCCCGACTCACCTCTTTGTAATCATGGTCGATGAACACTTTTCTACCACTGGTGCCCTTCCCAGCCAGCCAACCCTTGTGACGAGAATCGGGTTTACCAATCCCTTTCTGTACTTTTAGGTACTCTTGACAGCACTCGACGACTTCTTCAGTACTGTAACCCTCTATCATGGAGCCCTCTGGGTATGCTCGATTATGCACGTATCGACTTAGAACCGACATGAACCGCTCGTAGGACCACATTTCATGCAAGTAGCAAGGGCCCAACGCCTGTATCTGATGAACCATGTGAATCATGAGATGTGGCATTATATCAAAAAAAGCAGGAGGTAAACACATCTCCAGTTGATTTTGTGTCTCCACCACAAATTCATGTAGGTCACTCAGCTCTTGCTTGCCAATCGTCTTCTGTGAGATCTTCGAAAAGAAGTAACACATGCGGGTGATGGCCATTTTCAAGAACTCTGGCTTTATAGCCCTGATTGCAATAGGTAGAAACACTATCAGCATCACATGACAATCGTGAGCCTTGCAGTGTGTTATTGACAAGTCCTTCATCGACACTAGCTTCTTCACATTTGCTGAAAATCCAGTCGGGACTTTGATCCCCCTCAGGAAAGTGCATATAGCTCTCTTCTCGTCTGGTGTTAGGTTGAAGCACGCCACGGGCAGAGTGTATTTTCCATTAGCCTCAGGTACCGGGTGAAGTTGTGGCATCACGTTTAGCTGCACCATGTCTTTCCGTGCTTTCAGACCATCCTTTGACTTGCCTGTGTCCATCAAGGTAGCAATGAGACTCTCAAAGACATTCTTCTGACGTGCATAGCATCAATGGCATGGGGGACCTCCAAGTCTGGCCAATAAGGCAGATACTGAAAGAAGATCGATTGTTTCTTGAAAGGTACTCCTTCGACAGGAGGTGTGCTTCTATCTCTGTTCGTCCCATCCGGATTCTTCTTTCCATAGACGACGCGTATGTTTTTCACCATTCTGTACACGTGTTCTCCGTTATGACTTCTCTCCGGAGGGGGTTCAATCTCCGGGGCGTTGTCATAAAATCTAAAGAACAATTTGCTACGGTACTTGTGACTTGTCTTTAAGAACCGTCGGTTCCTTAGGTAAACTATCTTCTTGGATGTATCTAGGTACACCCATGTAGTACCATCCAAGCAAACCAAGCATCCCGTCTTCCCTTTGATCTGTCCAGACAAAGCAAACAGCGCGGGGTAATCATTGGTAGTAACAAATATTATTGCTCTACATATGAAGTCCTCCTTTCGGAACGCATCGTACATATGCTCCCCATGCCTCCATAGCCTCTCCATTTCTTGCATCAAAGGCTCGAGGAACACGTCTATATCAATGCCTGGTTGTTTAGGGCCAGAAATAAGAATAGTGATGAGAAGGTATTTTCTCTTCTGACACAACCATGTTGGGATGTTGTACATGGTCAAGATCACTGTCCATGTGCTGTGGTTTCTCATCCTCTCATTGAAGGGATTCATTCCATCGGTGCTCAAGCCAAACGATACATTCCTTGGGTCATCGCTGAATTCTTTGTGCTTCTCATCAAACATTTGCCACTGACTACAATCAGCCG